ATCTTTGCTCAACCAATCTTAAATATTGACGCCCCGATTATCCCAGGAAGCACCATATCGTTTAGATCATAGGATCGGTTCATTTATCCGAGGATAATTTACTCTTTACCAAAAAATGTTTAATGCTAGATTTGTTTAATATTCTTAGAAATTAGTTTGCTGATTTGACTTCATTAGCAGTGTTTAACTTTGCTCTGTTGAGCAAGCATGGGTTATTGACCCAAAAACAAAGGTACCTATTTACTAGTTTCTATATAGTGCTGTAACTAGTAAATACTTTACAACATTATATAAAAACATAGTATATACGGTACAGCATTATATAGAAACATCGTAAATACTGTATAGCATTATATAAAACATCGTAAAAACTGTGATAACTGCTTATCTTGGGTTCACATAAAATGTAATGACCTAAACGATATAGTCTATCAGTTACTCAAAAACTCATCTAATGATCATTTATAGTTTTGTAAGAATTGTCTCTATATTTCCATTCAGCAAATTTATTATAATACATACATTATAATAGAATATTCACGAGTATTCTATTACTAGTGTCTCAAATAGCATTATAAAAAAAGTTGCTCGTCATCCTTTTAAAAATCTCAAATCTATTACAGATACCTTTAAAAAAGAAGTTTTGAATTTTTTTTAAAATCAAAACTAACTGCTAAGCATAGAAATTATTGATTTATATGCTTAAATATATTGGGAGGAAATGACGTCATTTACGCATTTTTTTTTTTATAAAATGTTTGATATTTAGATAATATATCAAAAGCTTTATCATACAAATATCATCCTGTTATCAGTTTTGCTAAAAACGGCTGAAATTTAATTTTCTAATTTACGCTATAGAAATTTGAAGGAAATAACAACTTCAAGTTATCCATATTAAATTCAAAAATAATAAAGTAGATGAGTAAAATTTGTTTTATCTTCAATATATAGATTGTAGTACTGTTTTTCATTTAATAAACTTTTGGTAATTTTTTGTTTACTCTAATATTTTCTATATTTCACTTAAAAATAGTTAGTAGTATATTGAAAATTATGTTTTATGCAAAATGGCAGAATCCTCAAACATAATGAGCATGCTGTTTGGAGATATTTGGTAAAAGATCTGAAAAAGTGTTAAAAATCACTCCAGGGATTGAAAGACATATTCAAAACCTTTTGTGGAAAGAATCGTCTCGATTAGCTCTGCTACTACGATGTTTCTTTCTTGACTAGTAAATAAATAATCTAGTCGAGTAAAAGAAAATAATCGTTTTAAATCGTTTATGATGTGGATAAAGAATGTTGTCCCAAGTATATGTTCATCATGTGTATTAAACCTTTATACTTTAAACAGAAACACAAAAAAGTGGGTTGTGGATAGCTAAAATATCACAGGTATTATCTTTATTTATTATAGGCGTTATTTATATAGATTAACTATTATCATCGCATTTAGTTTACAATAAATGTCATCATTTTATTACAAAATAGTAAAAATTTATCACATTAAAAATTGTTGTGTTTGTAATAAGATTGATCGACAAAAGTTAAAAAGAACATCAAATATTGAACAAAAAGCAGCAAAACTTATTCTAATCAATGATGGAAACACACATAACATGATGGAAAAACACATAAAATCCTATCAAACTGCATAAAATATATTCTCTGTGTTTTTCAGTTACTAGTTAGTATATATAGCGATTATATTATAATAAATTCAATTTTACATACACTAAAATAATTGTGAATTTGTAAGCATAACTTGAACTAATGATAACTGTTAAATGATTTTAAAAATGACTTATAATTACTCTATAATTCAAGGATTATCTCATTTGTGTTGCAAAAGCTGTTAAAAATCTCATTAACCATTCAGAAGCTCCTGGACATGTATCCCAGCAAGGACAAGACGTATTCAATACGTATTATTTTAATATTATTCACATCTTTTCTAGAGTAGACGATAAAAATACGCATAAAAAACGAATTTTCAAGATGAGTTTTAGCTGAATATAAACTTATCTTTAAGAGACGTATTAAATACGTATTATTTCTATATATGAAAGATATCTTTCGCAAACAAATATAATACGTGTTTAAAACGTCTTTAAAAGACTAAAGTCATCATTAAAAAATGTTTTAAATACTTTTTTTTGAAGTTTTTATTTGAGACCACAAAGGCATGCGAAAAAAATGTGTATTCTGAACGTCTTTTGAAGACGACCTTTAGTCGAATATATTTGAATAAAGATAAATACTAATTGTAAAAAATAAATGTTGTTATTCAGCTATTGCTTCTTATTTATTGACTCGATTTATAGACAGCTTTTTGTACATCTTTACGTTCTTGGTTGTTACTCTATTCTCCAGTTAAGTTATTCTCTAAACACAACATTATTAACCAATCACCTTACACTTTCATCCTCCAATCAATTAAGATATTTTTTGACCAATAGCGTTATTATTTACTAAGGCTTCGCTTGAGGGATATTTTGATTAACCGCAATTTTACGTCATACAACATCTGTGTATAATATCACAATTTACATGCGCTCTTTAAACTGCTCATTGGCATTGCGCAAAATATCCTTCAAGACTTATTCTTATTCAATATCAAATTATGGTAAGTCTTTTATCTTAATTGTTTTTTATTTTGTTGTGTGTTTGTTTGCCTTCAATTTGTACTTGAGTATTTAGGAATAATTTTACTTGAGTATTTAGGAATAATTTAACTTATAAGTTTTTTGTATTCTAATGTTACTTCTTGCGCAACGTGTTTTAATAATTTTCTAAAAAGTATATCAGCGTAATTTGTTTAAAATGGATCAAGTTAGGGTATTTTTGAATGTTTATCTGATAAATTCAGATAGGTTTACTTAGATATTCTTTTGTTTTTATCTGTGGCTGAAGGTATTCGGGTTGCATGTAAATAAACAGAATTATTGTATTTGTTGATCTTTGAGTATATAAATTAAATTTAAAACGAATATTTTTATTATAAGGTTGCATGCTTTTAAGGTATTTTTGCACGTTTGCATGCGTCTAAGGCATTTACGTCTAAATATGTTCCACTAGTGACTATACTCACTTATTCTAGTTGCGAACCTGATATGTAAAGAGAACATGATAAGACTAGACTGAGCGAGACTAAGAACCATTATTTACGAACACACAGATTCAAAGCAATAAAAACACTAAATGACACATAAAACTTTAACGTTTAGAACAATACAAACACAAAACACAATAACTTACAGAACACTGCAACAACACGTACTTAAATCTAACATGACCACCACTTACTTAACTCAAACTTAATTACTGAATAGTACCCTTCTTTTAAACAACAACTCTTAATTCTGGACATCTGTCCAAATATTATAATTTATCTTGCACTTCCTTGCACTTATATAAAATATTTCTTGCTTCTCTTAAGACTATTACGGCCTGATGGTTCCATATAAGTGGTGGAACTTTAATAGCTTCCACTGCGAAACAATAACAAAATCACTACTTACTTTTTATGCGTTCTGATTGATTTGTTTTAAAACAATTTGTTGCAGCTTTTTTTTAAATTACATTTTTTCATACAATAACAGTCAAAATAAGCGGTAAACAAGAATGAATTTAACAACATTCAGATCTCACCTTCAGATCTTACCTTTAATATTTTTTCGATTTTAGATTATTTTCCGTAAACCTGATGGCGAATATGAACATTAAAGGGAGTAAACGTAAAGGCAGAGAAAACAAAATATCGTTTGAAAACCTTAAGTTAAAGGACGTTATGTTTGGTGAGATACAATTTATATTGTACATAGTCATTTTTTTCAAAAATGATAAATGCGACACTTAAGTGTCGTATTCAACTATATATATATTAAGCTGACGATATTTTTAATTTTAAATATTTTTGCTTAACTTATTTTAGAAGCGTTACAAGACAGGTATACCGTTAGTGAAAAAGAATTATTTAGAGTTGTCGGGAATAAACTAAAGAATGCACCAGGAAGATTGAACCATTCCATTGATATCTAACATTTATATTATATTATATGTATATAGTTTATGTTATAGTATATAGTTACTTTTTTTAAATAAATAAACAATAATATTATACAATTCAAAATGTTTTAATGTTCTTTTAAGCTTGGTTTCCAATAGTTGTAGAAATGTTGTACAACAGTTCTGTAACAACTTTGTTTTATAATGGAAACGTTGTCTAGCATAGTTGCACAAATTAACGTCGGTTGTACAACACAATTTTTGTGGTAAAACAATGGCTGCGAAGATAGAAATTAATCTATTTCCGCAATAATTATACAACGGTAGATAATACAACAATCTACTCTTCATTTTGCGAACATGTATTACAGATTTGACATCTATAAATAAACAGATTTGCATTTAATACAGAAATTATAGAAACCTAATAATTTTAAATACGTCTTATATACGTCTATTATCAACGCATTTTATTTATCTAATTAATACGAATTATAGATTTGCATTTAATACTTAAATTATAGATATCTGAGACGTATTTTAAATACGTATATTATACGTCTATTACCAACGCATTGTAATCATCTAATTAATACGTATTATAGATTTGCATTTAAGAATTAGAATATACGTATCGAAGAGTAGGACAAAGACGTATTTTATATGTATAATATACGTATTTTTCCTTGCTGGGATATAGTGAACAAATAGCATCAGAAGCTTAATTTCAACTTTAAATTTATAACAATTTTTTTAATTATATCTGAAACTTATAACCAGTGCAAAACTTTAAAAGAAAATTTTTTTTTAGAGTTAATAGTTTTATTTTTCAGGACTTTTCAAAATTAAAATGACGAGAGAAAATATTGAACGAGGTGAAAATTTCCGCCTTAAGTTTCCAACAATAACATTTAGTGTATTACTTTCAGTAATACACTAAATGTTATTGTTGGAATACCAGATACAAAATCTAGACGAATATCACTTAAAAAGTTATCCTTTAATGTTATAACAGAACTCTCAAACACTTTGAGCTTGTCCAAAAGAAAAAACAAAGATTTTTTGCACCAATGTGAAAACCTAGGTAAAAACATGGTTGAAAAAAGGATTACATGATTCTTTGTCAGAGTTTTATGATGTTGTTAAAGAAACATTTATACCAGGAGATGAAAAGTTAACTCGTAGTCTAGTGTTTGCTAAAAATACATCAGATCTTATTCTTCACACAATGAACGAGAGAGGCTTAGATCCTTATTCTAGTATAGCAAGAATTTCAGTTGATTCAGGGATTTCTGAAACGTGTTTTTGATCCTTTAGTCAAGCATTCAAGCTCAAAAAAGCTCGATGATACTGGTGTAAAACGATCAACAATTTTATCTTTAGTTGAGGATGCTTCTGAACACAATGGAAACCTTAGTTTACTTATAGCTCTACTGTGGTTGGAAGATGTTAAATATTCAGTCACATTTGATCTTAAATGCGGAAATTCTTTATTTGGTCTAAGTAGCCACAGTTGCAAATTTGCATGTCTTTGTTATGAGGGTGAATGCTTACTTGAAAGTGGTGTAAAAAAGACGTTTTAATCCATAGACATCAACTACAAAAGTTTGTTGCTTGTGGTTGCAGACATAAGAAAATGAAAGAGTTCAAAAATTGTGTTTCTCCAAGAATTCTTTATCTTGATGAGCCTTCAGAAACATTTGAACACAGCAACTAGATGGTTGAACATAGCATCCCACCTCCAGAGCTTCACCTGTTTATTGGGATTGTTTCAATGTTTGTGAAAATTTTAATGGCTCTGTGGTTTGGATTTGAGCAGTGGCTAAAAACTAACTACATTATGTTACGAGGCTACCATGGGATTGGGTTAGATGGCAATAATGCACAAAGGTTTTTAGACAATTTAGATAATCTAGAGATTAACCTAATGAGTGCGGCCTTAACAGATCCAAAAATAAGATTGCTCTTCCAGTTATTTGTTGTATCAGAAAATTCTCTATAGTAAAAAAATAACGGATCTGGAATGAAAGTAGGGGAGTTTTTGTCTGAATCTGTTTTGGACTTCAAAGATTCATTTCAAAGACTTCAATTTCAACTGAAAAATAGAATACCAATTAAATGTAAGCTGGAAAGTCTTGTTTGCCATATTTATCCTGTTTCTTCAACATAATAAATATGGTTTAGGTGTTTATGCTGAACAAGCAGGAGAGCGTGCACATCACCACCACTACCAAGTATGGAAGAGGTATAAACGACGTTCAGAACATATGCAACACAGCTAAAAAAAGTTTTGTAGAATTTGGTTAAAAATAATTTAAAATTTTATTTTGTTATCCTTTATTTTGTTGTAAATAGTGCGATTATATCCATTTTGTGTAATAGAGTATCCTTTATTTTGTTTATTTTGTTTGTAATAGAGTTTTCTGTAATAGAGTATCCTTGATTTTGTTGTAAATAGTACGATTATATCCAAGGCATTCGACACCGTTGATCACTCTATTTTGTTAGAAAAACTAAAATGGTATGGGGTATGCAATAAATTATATCATTGGATAAAAAGTTATCTATCTAATAGAAAACAATATGTTCAAAACAAGAAATCTGGAATACTGAATATTCTGTGTGGAGTGCCTCAAGGATCGATCCTAGGACCGCTCTTATTTTTAATTTATGTTAATGATTTTAATAATGCATCATTAAACTATATGCTATCATGTTTGCAGACGATACAAATCTATTTTTATCAAACTGCAATATTAATCAACTTTATGCTGACATGAATATCGAATTAGAAAAAGTAAATGATTGGTTCAGGTCAAATAAACTTTATCTTAACGTTGAAAAAACACAATATACCTTGTTTCATAAAAAAACACAAGAAGAAAACCTTCCTCTAAAACTGCCAAATCTTATTATAAATTGTAAACAATTTAAAAAACAAGATACTATAAAGTATTTAGGAGTTATTGTGGATAATCATTTATCATGGCTCCCACACATAAAATATATACAATCAAAAATTAGTAGAACCATTAGTATTATGTATCGAACTCGCCTGTACTTAAATTCACATAGTCTAAAGCTTATATACTTCAGCTTAATTCATTGTTACATTACTTATGAAAATATTACGTGGGCAAGTTGTCTACCAACAAAACTTAAAAAAATTCTTTCCTTATAAAAACATGCTTGTAGAATTATATACACCAAAAAAAAGGGGGACTACGCTAAACCTTTAATGTGGATATGAAAATGATGAACATATATCAGATAAATATTTTCCAACACCTAAACTTTATGTATAAATATACCAATAATCTAACTCCTGAAATCTTCATAAGTAAATTTAATAAAAATTTAAATGAGAAATATTTCTTAAGAATAAATCAAAGTAACACATATAAATTACCTAAAAAAGTAAACAAATACACAGAATATAGTATAACTTATAGAGGTCCCAAGCTATGGAACTCTTTTCTGAAAGACAATTTAAATATGGCAAAATCTTTAAATTCATTTCAGTTTCAAACAAAAACTTACGTTTAAACAAAAACTTACTTACAAACAAAAATCTTACGGATTAATTTTTATTTTTGTTTACAAAAAAATTTTTTTTAGCATTACATCTGATTATTTAACAGTTTGTATTTTTAAATATTATATGTAATCTTTATATATTATATGTTAAATATAATATCATATATTTAATTGGAAATTTGTATTTAAATATATTCTTTTATAACTTTTTGTGACTATTAGTATTTATTAATGTTATATCTTTTTAACTATATATATATATATATATACATATATATATATATATATATATATATATATATATATATATATATATATATATATATATATATATATATATATATATATATATATATATATATATATATATATATATACCAGGTATACCGGTATGAAATGAGCGTTTTTTGTGAAAATAAAACACTAATTATTAATGGGAAAGTATAAAACATTTTATTCAAAGTATTGGCCATTGTTTTCTACAAATTTTGACCACCTTTCTGGCAATTTGTGGATACCACGCCAATAAAATTGTTCATTTTTTAAAGCAAACCAACCAGACACCCAATTTTTGACCTCCTCGTAGGAATCAAAGTGCTGCTCAGCCAATGCGTGTCCCATCGATGAAAACAAATGGTAGTCGGAAGGAGCCAAGTCTGGTGAATACGGCGGGTAGGGTAGCAGCTTCCAGCCAAGTGTTTTGATTGTATCCTGAACCGGTTTTGCTTTGTGTGCAGGTGCATTGTCATGGAGCAAAATTACCTTGCCGTGTCTTCTGGCCCATTCTGGTCGTTTCTCGATCAATGCATGGCTCAAATTGATCATTTGTTGTCGGTAGCAATCAGTATTGACGGTTTCACCTGGTTTTAGGAGCTCGTGGAACACCACACCTTTCTGGTCCCACCAAACACACACCATTGTCTTCTTGCCGAATCGATCTGGTTTTGCAGTCAACACATCAACATCAACAGTGTTGATGGTTGTCCAGGATTAACCCATGATTTTTTCCGTTTAGGATTCTTAAAATAAATCCATTTTTCATCGCCAGTAACAATCTGATGCAAAACCGATTTTCTTTCGTGTCTTCGAAGCAAAATTTCACAAGTGTTTTTTCGGTTTTCCATCTGTCTTTCATTCAATTCATGTGGCACCCATTTTCCACACTTTTGGATCTTTCCCATAGATTCTAAACGGTCAGAAATTGTTTGTTGTGCAACATTTAACATTTCTGCCGTTTGCTTTTGACTCAAAGTGTCATCTCCATCCAATATCGTTTGCAATTCGGCGTCTTCAAACTTTTTTGGTGGTCTTCCACGTTCTTCATTTCTCACATCAAAATCATTATTTCTGAACCGTTGAAACCATCTTTTGCATGTTGCTTCTGATAGAGCATGATCACCATATGCCTCGACAAGCATTCGATGCGACTCGGCAGCACTTCTCTTCAAATGAAAACAAAAAATTAATGCTTTCCGCAAATCATCACTTTCCGGTACAAAATTCGACATTTTTAACACGATGAAAAAATATGATGTTGTCTGTTCAATGACTTGATGTATACTAAATATGTTTCACAGATG